AAGTTAATTTGTGCAGTTCTTTTTTTCTTTTTTTTTTTTTTTTTCTTTTAAGTTAAAACAGGTTGATGTGTACATGGAGAGCAGTGCCGAGAATTCTGCAATTCTGTGATGTTTGAAAAGTTAATTGTTTCTATTTTATATTATTTTGAGTGTTTCATTATGAATATTTGTTTTATTATAGATTTTTGTTTCATTATGGATGTTTCTTGTATTTTAAATTTTCTTAATTCCTATGTAATTTTCAGCATGCTGCTATTTTTTTAAATGGTTACTATTTTCCATGTGTTAGGTTGGCGAAAAATTAGCAGCAACGACTGGCAACTTTGAAGAGGGTTGGGAGTGTAATGTAACAGTACCATTCTCTTATAAGGCTGGCAAATCTAATTATTGTTTCTGTGATTTGTTATATCTAATGATTTCTTTTTTTGATTTTTTTTTTCTGAAAGTAATTAGTTTCTGTTTTGTATATATTATTTTGTTCTTTATTCACTGAAACAGAAGTTGTTCTGTTGATCTGTTGATTAAAATATTGACAAAATTATTCTTGTGCAGATCAAGGTCATGATTATGGTACTTGCCAAAAAAAAATAAATAAATAAATAAATAAAGGTTTGCTCGTCAGTATGCTGCCAACAATCTGGTGGAACCTTGTGTTGATGAACTATGTTTCGTAGTATTAGCAAAAATGAAATGTATCTTTTCCATTACTGACCAGAGGGGGAGATCATGTTTGATTGTTATTCTTCATAGCTTGTCTTTGCCACTATGTGAGTTTTGTTAATAAACAGGCAAATAACTTCTCTTCAACTTAGTCCCAATTTTTAGTCTAACACTTTGTCAAATGTTGTTAAATATTTGCATGGTGTATCTTTTGAACGTTACCCTGAGATCTTTTTGCAAGAAAAAGATTATGTAAAAAATGACACTATGCAGATATGTGGTTGCTGTAATTGGTTTAAAATTGAAGTTGAAATTTTAAAAAAAAATTCACCTGCACTCTCCTTTGGTTCCATTCCTTAAAAGAAGGAAAATTAATCAAAAAAATAAATAAGTATTTATGGCAGTGTTTCAGCAGGCATTGGCTAAGGGCTCAAGTTTGATACATTGAAGATATTTCACAGGAAAAGCTTTAAATGATATGAATACAGCTGATTAAAACAAAACTATGTAAATATTTTTTATAGAAATATTTTGTAGAAATCGAGAGATATGTGATATAATCTCAGTATTTCTAAAATGCTAGATTGTGCATGCCATATAATTATGGCTTTCAGAATGGGATTGAAAGAAAAATATTGTCTTGTATTAGAGATAATATACAAAAACTATGTAATATAGGAGTAAAATGCCACTGAATGGCAAAAAGCCTAACACCAGTCTTCCTTTAATATTTAACATTTGTAACCACAAAATTGCTTTTCTTATGGAGATTGCTGATCCCTATAAATAACTACTTTACACATATAAATTTGAGATTATAAAGCTGTTCTAAGGGTTAGGTAGCTATTAGTAATAAGTTGCAATTTTATTTTTTCATTTCTGATGGAACTTTAAGTAATTGCACTGTTCATCTATCTTATTTAATGTTTGTCAACATTCTTCACATGAGTTTTCATGTTCTTGTCAAAATATTTGCATGGATTTGGATTTTCATTCAGCTACATGTAAGCATTCAGCTTCATAAACTTCTGTGAATTTCATGTAAACTGGGAGGCAGTATCTGTAGGCATACCTGCATTGTGAATTTCTTTAATATGTCAAGTATAAGTATTGAATTAAAAAGATGCATGTTGTATGTTTTGCATACTTTAGGGGTATTTACACGAACTTAGTTCTGTATTTGGATAGTAATTTCCCAGATCTTTGGAAAGGCAAATGAATGCCAATGAAAAGCATCATATTTTTGCTGAATTTAATGTTTAAAGAATTAATATAGACATTTGAAATCATTATTTATTAATTTAAACTAAAAAGTAATTATTAAGAATTATGTTTAAATATTATAAGGTTTGAATTTTTCGTGCATTATCTCTGTGAATAAACTCTAGAGCATATTTTTAATGCAGTAAATATAGGGTGTGTCTAGTCACACCCTAGTCTGTAGTGCTGTAAATAATAAATAAATAAATTTTATTGCTGTTAGAGTAACTGTTTTATGGGAGCTTTTTTCTAATTATGTTAAGATCATTTGTGCAGTTCTTATTATAAATTGATGACCATATGAGGTAACATCCAGGTTCTTGAGTTCAAATGATGAGCATCTTTTGAACTGTAGTGGATATTAGAGTAGAAATAAGCATTTTTTTTCTTTGGAATTGGTCTTTTTTGAAAAAACTTTGATTGTACAGAATAAATAAATCTAGTTTTTGTGATGAGTAGATTAATAATTTTTTTGTTGATGAAATATTAAATAGCTCACTAAAATGACTTTATTATTTTTTATTTTGAAATCTTATTTTTGAGTTAATTTTTGCATTTTGTTATTTAACTTAAAGATTAACTTATTGAACTTGAATCTTCCCAAAATATGCATAACTAGAAAAATTTAGAGTTCAGTGATTAACTGTAACTATTTTAAACAAATTAATATTTCAGCTGTTTGGGAAATTACCATTGATTTTCTTAATATATTATCAGAGTGCATTGTACTAACTCTGATTACACTGGGGGTCAGAATTTAATGTACCTGTAATTTAGAAAATAATTGTTAAAGAAAGATACAAGTAATTATTTTGTCAGATGTTTATGCTAAAAGGATATTTGTTTAGTTGATTAGGCTAAACCTTATGATGATTCAAGTGTGTATTTGAGCATTTGAAGCTTCACAGGGTTTCTGAATTTGCAAGTGTTATACTACCTGTAGGCTGAAATTGGCTTTCACATTTTGAGAAAATTTGTATATACATGATTACCAAAAAGCCAAAGGAAGAGAAAATATAGTTTTTTTTTTTTTTTTTTTTTTCAGATAATAAATTACTTGTTATCTAGATATGAATAAATATAAGTCTACAAGTTTACTATCTATTAGTTTTTCAATCTATGATTCAGTTATCATCCAGGGCTTAATATTTAAAATTAGAAGTCTGAAGACCCTATGGAAAGCTGTCAGGAAAGAGGAACAAAAATAAATAACTAATAAAATAATGGTTAATCTTTGGATTATGGAAACTGGGCGATTTTTTGGCGACCAACCCTGCTACAGCAACCTGCTAGTTTTTGTTTGGACGGCATTTTGTTTTCACGAAGTAAAGTCCCTTTTTTTTTTTTTTTTTTTTTTTTTTAACTCAACATTTTTTTTCCAACAATTTGCTAGCCAAATTACGCTTATGCTAGAACTTTTATGGAACAACAGTGCTTAATCATGACGAAGATTAGGTGCGAAATTGGGAGAAAGTGCAGAATCGCCCACTGCTTGGCGCGTTTTTAAGAATTGCACATACACGGTATCATCCATGTACACTTCGACCTATTTTCACTTTAAAAAAATCCCAGAATTGCACAAAAATGGCATTGCGCACACTGTTGACTTCATCCATGTACACTGCTAAAATCCTAGCTAGTAACCTTTATCGCCTTACCAAAATGTCACCAAACTACCTGTTACCATATTCCAAAGATTAGCCAAAACGATTAATAATTAATTTTAATTATTTAGTTGATGTGCATATATGAAAACAATTTTTTCTGATCATGATGCCGTACCGATATAATTCTAGCTATTAAGCAGAATGTGTCAGTCTGGGACGGTACAGTAACTCATCACAGGCGTATGGGGGAAATGTTACCCATATCCAAGGGTTTCTCTATAAGTTGAGAACAAATGTAAGATTTGGTACAAGAAAAAATTTTCATGTGCCATATTTAACTACATCATTCGAGAATGTCTCTTTCCCAAGGCAAGTAGAGTTGAACATTGGACATATATGACCAAAGTACAAGATTCAAATACTTTTGGAAACAAAAAGCTTATTTGCTGTCATAAATTCATTGTACTTCTTGGAGAATAAATCTTTGACATGTGAATGTGGGCTTTTATCTCCTTAAAAGTTTTAAGTTCTGTTACCTTTTTAATGGTCATTAACAAGCTCAGCTTACATTCCAGTTATGCACCATAGTGGATGTGAAGGAACACACCTTGCATTACAAATTTATGACTGATGGATATCGGGCTTATTTGTGAAGAAAGAATAGCTTAATTATGTAACTGATAAAGGGTTAAAGGGTTAGTTTGCGAGGGAAAGACAGGCATACATTCAAAAGTTAGAACTAATTTTTAAAATCTTATTTATTATTAAATAAGATTTTTGAGATTAAAAGAACTTTCTGCTGAAGTAGTTGTTCAATCTCGTGAAAGAAATACTGAAGTTTAAGGTTCCAGTGCACTCTGGCTAAAGTGATTTATCTCAAAAACTGAGTTGAAGAGTTGGTCTGTGGTGGGCTTTGGTGTACTTTTAGCACTGTCGTGACCTCACTTTCAATGTGTGAAAGCTTTTGTTTTAAAGAGGCTTAAAAGAGGCAGTTGCCTTGTTTTAAAATTGAATAAAAATTCATCTTTATGAGATTACAATCATTTTATTTCACTGATATTGTTTTGCAGTTCATGCTTAAAATGCATTCTATAAGCTATTGACATCTTTCCTAACATCAAGTAAACATCAAATATTGCTATATACCTCTAAAATATGTATAAAGAAATAATAATTCAGCAGTGAAAGTAACTGTCATTAAAAGTTTTCTAGTTATCTGAGTGCTTTACTGAAAAATGACTTATATCTTTTTTGAATCAACAAATATCAGACGTTTAAAAAAGCAATTAAATTTATATTAATGTTTCACTGAGAGTTTAAACATTTTATAAAATATCAACAAGCTTACCATTATCGGCTTTGTTATACAATTTTGAAAATAAGGAAATGTTATGTATGTACACATGTGTATATGTTATTGAGTATAAATGCTGCTTTTATATTAATTTTGAAAATTTCAATTTTCATTTTCAGCTTTCCTGAGAAAAGTATACTCCATTTTAATGCTGCAGCTTGCTATAACAACAGGATTTATTTGTTTGTTCCTATATGAGTATGTTGTTACTTATTTAAAATTAATTTTTATGATTTTTGTGTGCTTTTTTTAATGAGCATCATTTTTATTTAGTGTGTAAAGCATTTGAATAATCTCATTATTAATTGCTGTCTAGTAATTTTGAAAGGTAACTTTTAAAAGTTCCTTTTTTTAAATTAAAAACATACTAGAGTGAAAATGTACCTTTCCGGAGGAAGGTAGTTTTACTGTCCTTTTTACGTTACATAATCCTACCCAAAGTAGGAAATTTATACTATAATTGTATTTAAATTATTGATTTAATAGTTTGTTTTCGATTGATTTTTTAATATTAAGCAAAAAACATGTATATAAAATGTTTCTCATATCTAAATTTCTTATCTTTAAAGATTTATAAAGGAAGCGTTATAACAGTAAACAAAAAATAAAAGTACATTGCGCACAAAAAAAGAAAGAGACAGTTTTATATCTCCTGTTCTACTGGGCTTATTGACAAAATTCAAATTGCATTTTTCATGTTTTGACACGAAATTGGGATTTCTCTGAAATGACATGCAATTTTTTTCCATATTTCGATTCTGCAACTCTATGCCATATTAAATTTTGGTGCTAAGTTTACAGAGAAATTCAAAAATTTATGTTGGTGCATTTTTTCAGTTTGCTCCAAGAATTCACTTGGTGACCTTCTTAATTTTTGGCAACCTATTTTCCTTCAGCCTTTTTTCCATTGTATACAGGCGGATAGAAAGTCATCGTTCATTATTTCAAATAATTTCAACAAAGTGGCATAAACCACATTTGGCATTCTTATCGCTTATAACAAATATACCAAATATCAAAACTCAAAATTTTGGATATAAAACTCTAATTTTTTGCAGGTATGCTTAGAAATAAATCTTTAAGATGCTGGTAAAAATTTTAGAAATAAAAAATGTTTTTTTTTTTAAAAATATTTTAAAATACAAATTTTAAAAATAAATCATAAAAAATGGTCAAATTTTATTTGCAATGAATTGAATTTCTAATTCTATAAGAAGGAATCAGGTAAGTTTAATTAAAAAAAAAGAGATGGTAATAATAATATCAAATTCAATTAACATTGGGGAGCTAAAAGTTTGAAAGCTAAGTTTTTAAAAACTGCTCGTGCAACTTTTATAAAATTTGGCAGTTTGTCATACCTTGGGCTGTAGAATCGAAATATGAAAAAATATTGGCACGTCCTTTCAGAAAAAGTCCAATTTTGTGTCAAAATACCTATATTAGAACAATGCTATAGATAAATCTAATGTATATACTAAGTTGCGCTTTTGAGATGTGAAAAACACAATTTAAATTTCGTGAATCGGCACAGTAGAACGGGAGATATAAAACTGCACCCCTCCCCCCTTTTGTGTGTGTGTGTGTGTGCAGTGTACCTGCTGGAAGAAATAAATATGATATTTTATAAATCATAGTGAGTCAAAGAAGAATTCGGAATAGAATCATAGAATCAAATTGACATGGCTGTGTATTTTAATGTTTTGTCATATGGGATGACTGTGAGTTTTGCATTAAGAGTTTTGAGTAGGAAGGACATTCAAGTTTTTTTTATCATGAGAACAGTTACATCAGTTCTTAAAAAAAAAAAAAAAAAAAAAAAAAAAAAAAAAGGAGGCCACAAAAATATAATCAAAATGTAATTTTATTAACCTAGTGCGGACTCTAATTGCATTTTCTTAACAAGTTATTAAAAAAAATCCTAGAACTGAAGAATACATGAAACAATCTTTTTTATTTATATAACATGATTTATTAATTTAGCAGAAAAAAAGGATTTTTTCGTGGTGTTTCTAATCTGTTTTACCTTCAAACAGGCCAAAAGTCAAGATGTATTCCATGCAGCATCCAGAAATGTTTTGGATAGCTTTGTAAGTATTTTATAAATAAATAATTTTTTTTAGTATTATTATAGTTTTTTTTAACGTAGTTAAAATGTTACAGATATTGAATACATATAAAATTTAGTCACATCCCCATAGTTCCATACTGCTTGCCTGTTAACAAAGTATTTTATCTTTTTAATTTTCAGCATTATGACAATAATACTGATTTTAGTATTGTCGTGTTGTGAAGGTGTTAGAAGAAGTTTTCCTGCAAATTTTATTTGCCTCTTTCTTTTTGTAAGTATCAAATTTATATTTTTTTTTTATTTTAGTGCAAAGTTTTTTCCTGTTTCAAAAAAATTATGCGTATACCAAATATAAATCTTGCAACAGAATTTATATAACAGGTCATTTGCTAATAAATAAAGATAAATGTACATTAACAACAATTGAGCTATGAATGGATAAATAAATAATTGCAGCATTATGGAATTCCATATATATATATATGTTATTTAAGAATGATGTATGGCTATAGAGATTAATTAGTGGGGATTAAGTGATATTCGTAACTGTACAAATATTGTAGAATTCTTGCTTAGTTTTAATTTTAATTTTTAAGCCTTATAAAGAGGTAGAACTTATGCTGATGAGAGTGAGAAATTATGTCCGTCATTATCAGTCAGCTAATTATACTTCCTGTTGCCAAGCCACTTGTGGTCATGAACGTTATTTTCCTACTTCTTTTGTCTTAAAATTTCCTTATTTTCTGAAAAGATTTACAATTAACAAAAAATGAAAGGAAAATAATGAAGCCTAAACAAAGTTGGTAAATTAAATGAAAAATCTTAGAGTAACACCCTAAATTTCAATACAGGGAGTTAAATTCTATGTCATTGTAATTTACAGACATTGATAGTTTTCTGCCATAGCAAAAAATATATGGCAGAGCAACTTAAGTAATGGATTTAGATTATTCTGGATTGAGTGTATTGCCATTGGTAGGTGCTCACTGGCTGATTGTGGTGGTTCATACACTCTTTAATTTTTGAAAAATCCTGCAAGAAAAAAAATCTAAGCTGTTGTAAAGTCTTGTACCATTTTGATTGCATTATCAAACATTTAGTCAGTCACATTATTACACACTAATGTGTTTCATTACATTGTGACACTTGCTGAGCATTTATGTATGTTCTGCATTGTTCTATGTTCATAAAATATATCACTTTTTAATGTGGAAAAATTTTTAAGGTATCCTTTTTTAATGCATTGCGGAATTGCTGTGTCGGTATATTAAACACAACAAATAGGTTTTGCAGTGTATAATTATGATTGTCTAATAAGTTAAAATTTGCTTTTTCATAATAGTCATTTGTTTACTTGTTGAGTAAATAAAGTATTTGCAAAACTCGCATTAATGAATCAAAATTAGCAGTGCTGATATTTTTATTATTTAACGTTTTAGTTTTGTCATGTAAAGGACTTCATTATGTAACTAAACAATATGTTTTAAATCTAGTGATCATCTCAGTTTTGTAGAAAATTTTACAAGTCATTCTAGCCACATTATTAAAAATTAAACATTGTCATTCATATCAGTATATCATAATTTCCTTAACCTGTTTGTCAGTTCTTGAATTTCTTATAAGAGTAGTTATCAGGAGTGTTAATAAATTAAGCAGAAGAAAAATTGTTCATTCCATGTGTTCATTATGAATATTCTTTTTATGGACTAACAATGTACTTTTTGTGTGTGTGAAATCTCTTCCTCATAATTAATTACTTTTACAAAATTTACTACATTTTAAAATTCCCATATATTAGTACAAGAGTTGAAGGTGATGAATATCATGTGTAATATACCTGCTTTTTCTTTGCAGAAAGCTGTATTTAAATGCACCTTCAAGGAATAAATTATTTTAAAATATAGATAATGTTAGTGAATTAAACACCTTTTTCATGGTTTTTATGCACTGTAGAAAGTTGAATGTGTAATTATTAAATATTGATAGGCTTAAATAATAACATAGGAGAAGTATTTCAACTTTATAATAATATAAAGACCATTATCTTGGGTAACATATTTACTTAGATTTTATTGCATATAGTGCTGGCCAATAAAATTTTAACACCATTGAAGCAGTAGCTTATTGTGAAATTTACATAATAGGCATAAAATGATAGGAATGCAGTATAAGACATGAAAATGATTAGAAATGCAGTGTTTATGCAATAATGCCATCTAGAACCAAAGTGAAAGAAAAGAGGAGGGCAGGTTTTCCATGCATCGTTTCTTCTTTATTTGACTGAAAGTATAAAATATGCCTTTGGTAAGAAGATGAAACATGTAGCAACACGTGTGTGAATTTAATCATGGGAGAATAATAATATGTATCATGATTGTGGATTACTGTACTGCCAAATTACTGCCCATGTTGGTCGAAATCCAACCACTGTCAGACAAATATAGAACCTGTAGTGATATGCAGGCTTACATCAGCTTTGATGCATAGTACAAGTATCTAGTGCTGGAAAGGATTGATATCTTGTGCAGATAGATAGTTTGTACACCCCCATGCAACATATTAATATAAGCTAATGAAAAAATATGGTGTGGTGTGACAAAAATTATCTGTGAATAGGAGACATTATCTAGATGGTAATGAAGCTACAGTGATATAATGAATGGTACACATGGATGCATGAATGGCATAACATTATCTTCTCATTCAAATTTTGTTTTTATATGCAACATCATGGTGGATAAGTATTCAGATTGGACATCATGGGGAGTTTTCTTTAGAATCTTAACTTTATTCATTGTCATTTGTATCCATACCAGAAGTTATACCATGACGTATGGTTGGATGCAAATCCTGCTTGTGTCTGGCATCCATATCTGTAACTCTGACAAGTGTTATATGTAGCAAAGTCTCTAATTGCTCTACATCTTAAAAGAAACTATGTGCCTGCTATGTTTGACAACTTACCAGCAGTGATATCTGCAATCATGGTTGTTTTAATCACCTGATCACTGTTGCAATTACACCATAATGTTCAGCATCAAATGCGCCTCTTCTACATATGGCATATTATGGTTCTGTCTTGGCCAATATATTAAACAGATCCTCCCATTATTGAACATCTCTGGCCTATAGTATCACTCATGGTTGTTCATCAAAGATAACTAAGAACTACATTATATGAATTTAATAAATTAGAGTTGCTTTCTTTGTAGTATCCCAAAATGCAATTCAAAGTTTCTTTCAATCCTGTACCTCATTGCATAACAGTGGTTTATTGTTGCTCATGATGGCTACATTTGTCACTGCTCACAGCATATTTTGTTTAACCAGTGTGTCTGAAATTTCTGGAAAATGAACTTGGTTGTTTTATTTTTTGTCCTTTCTTTTCTTGCAGTTTTAATGGCCAGCAGAGTATCTGATTTACGTTCAAGTATTTTTATTGTATTGTTTCACTTTTATTCAAATAAATGATCATATATCATTAAAATATGAATTTTAATCAGTTTTTATTATGATATATAATATTTATTTGATCTAGGTGATTATTATATTTAGCAAACATTTTAATCCCTTTTATATATATATTCTTATTTCAGACTTTCTTTGAGTCATTTTTATTGGGATCAGCAGCTAGGTATGTATACTTCTATTTAATGGTTTTTAATAAAGGAAATCTTAAATATATTGTCAGCTGAAGAATCTTTAGCTGCATAATAAAAATTTATGAATTATACTAATATTTCTTATTTTTTGGTTTTATTTGCAGCCGGTATGATACTGAAGCAGTTATGTTGGCTGTTGCTATTTGTGCTGTAAGTATTCAAAAGCATTCTCAAATATCTATTTATATAAACTGTTAATTTTTATTTTAAGCTGAATGTATCTTCAGAACATTCTCTACTTTTTATTGCATCTATGATATTTTTGTTCGAAAATCTATTTTAATACTTAAACATTTATATTGAAGAGTTAAAATTATTTATATTATTGTTATATTAAGATTATTTGAAACAGAGATTTTAAAATAAAAAGGGAAAATAAAGTACTTTTTGATTATTCATAACTTCATGAAAGGTTCTCAAATCAATGATGGAAAATATATGTTTGACAAACTTTACAGCTCATAAGTATTTGTTCTGTACTTACATACAATATTTTATGAAAAAATAAATTATAGGAGAAAAAATTTTGTAGGCAATAACATTCAGGAAAATGACAACTGAATATAAAGTGAATAAAACTCTGTGCATGGTTTCGCTATCCTTGCATGTAAACTCAAAAATATGACAAAAGCATACCAGTTCTGCTGAATTTTGAAACCAGAGTCAGCTAATCTGAATTCCCCCCCTTTTTTGTTTGTGTGTGTGTGTTTAACTTAATTGCTTACTATGGAAGCATGTAAAAGGAGAAGCAGACATTCACACAATTTATAAAAAGTCTGATAAATACTTTAAGATATGCTAAATGTGACAAGGTGTACTTTTTATATTAGTATTGTGAACAAGTAATTTGATTATTTGTAATTTTTTTGTGAACTTCTCACAAACGTTTTGTATGCATTTCTAAGTTTTAAACTAAAAATGGAAACAGACCACGAAGTGGAATGAATAATTGTTATCTGAATATTTCATTTATTTTTCTTCATGAAAGAAAATTTGTAATCTAAAATGAATTTTTATATATAATAACTTTGATCGGAATATTACTAATATATTTTAGATTTGAAAAATAAACGTACTGTAATTGAATAATTCCAATAATCAATTCATATTAACATTGTGAATATGATTACACTTTTAAGAGATTTTAATTTTTAATTCTCTTCAGTGTTCTAGATTTTTGTATCACTTGTGTAAAATGTTCTCAGTTTAATCAAAATGGATTTGAGAAATAAATGACTTCAGATTTTAAATATAATATAAACACAGGTTCTAATAATTTATCTGTGGGACTATAAAAATGGTATATGATGGTGAATGACAAAAGAAAAGTCTTATTTAGATTTACTAATATATAAATTAGACATAAGAGCTGTAAATGTTCTTATATTATTCGAAACATGATACAAAATAAACCTTTTCAGTTTCGTTTTTGTAATGTTGCTTTACTTAAATCGGGCACTTCTTTTAAGTATTTTTCATTTGAAATCCATGAAAAGTAAGTTTATGCACTTTGAACTTGATTATTATCTAACAGATGGAAGAGAAATATGCTAATGCAAATTAAAATAGGCAAAAAGGCAACTTTAATTTGGCATGGATTTCAAATATACTGTCGCCGTTGTTTTATAATTGTTATTTTGTGTGTTTTATTGAAATTATAAATTGTTTGTTTCAGGTAATTTGCTTAGGACTTACTTTCTTTGCTTTCCAGACAAAGGTAAGGTATAAATAATTTCCAGTTACTGAAAACTGTAACCTTATTGCTTTTTATTATGCCATCTCTGCATGCAAAATAATCTCCTGCTAATGATCATTTACTTTGATCCAGTTTTTATGGCAGTAAAATTAAAGTAGCTGTCTAAATGACAAAATGGACAGTATGTAATATATCAGGGTTGGCCAAACTTCATGTCAGTAAGAGCCGCACGTTTGAATTCAGGAATGTTCGAGAGACACATCTAGATTTTCTAAAAAGCCACAAGTTCATATTTACATCATTATAAAAGTAGTGGAAGAGGTTTTAAATAGAAAGAAATCCCTGATAACATTGTAAAAATAGTCTAAACTAATTAATTACTTCTTTTTGGACACAGAATAGTTTTAGTTTGCCATATTTCATACATATATTTTATATACATGAGCTGCAAAAATTGCCTGCGAGAACCATATAAGGCTCGTGAGCCTCGCTTTGGCCAACTCTGTATTATATGTATAATGGGAATGATTTATGCATTTATTTGTGTGCGTTTCTACATAAATTGTGTTAAATAAAAGTTAAGAAAATAATTCATAAGTTCTATTGGTATTGTTCTTTTATCAGGACTGGATCCAGAAATATCTGTATGTATGCATGGATGGTTGTGTTCATGTATACGAGTATATGTAAGCATGAATGTATGTGTGTATATACATGTACACATATATACATACACACGTGCATACATTCATACATTTCTGTATCTGGTTCCGATAACAGAACAGTACTGTTCTCTCTTATGGAATTCTTAATATATTCTTTTATCAGGCATTTTTTTATTAAATTATATATTGTTAATTTATCGGTGTGACTTTCGTAGACGGTTGGTCAGATTTTTAGCAATATACTTTGGCGCAATTGTTGGCGTGGTTTTTACAATCATCAGCCATCTTGAAAAATGCTGTTTTTACGTATTTCATGCATAGTAAAGTATTCAAAACTTTAAAAAAATAAATAAATATCGTTAAAAATAATGAATTGATTTTTTGTTGAAAAGGTTGTTTTTTAAGATGGCAGGCAAATGTAAATAAATACATTTACTACGAGTATAAAATACTAAAGTAAGGTTAAATTATTACTTTCATATAGCACAGAAATAGAATCAAAACACTGCTATAAAAACATTGTGCCAATGTTTAATTGGATGAAAATATCGCGTGAATTGAATATTGAATTAAAAACCATTGTACCAACGTTTAAAAGAATTAAAATATTACTTAAATTCAAATACTTTAAAATAAGTAAATAAAAACTCTAACACTAGAGCTAAAATGGCAGCAATAATGTTAGTTATTATTATTAATTAGTTTATTGCCGGTAAAAAAAGGAGGAATGTCTAATACGTTTTTTTACCGTTACAGTGGTTATTTCTTTCACCATGACACAATACCATATACGGCCGTCCTCAGAATCGGCTCTTCTAACGATCTTCATCTGTGGTCCACATTTCTCACACTTTATTGAAGAAGCAATTAGCAAGGTTTCCTCTGAAATCTAAGGAATTCAAAGAGACAAATAATAAAACTTTAAAATAGCACGGTAATGCACAAATATTCAGTAACCAATCAGGGAGCTGATTACAGCTCGTTAATGCCGAAATATTCTATAACCTTATCTTATATGTGCAATATCCAAAATGGTCCAAGAATCCACCTTCTGAGGGAGCTGATTACATCACACCTAAAATTAAAATTATTTAACTAATCATACATAATAAAATCATTTTTAAAAAATGCAAAATTAAATTGTATTTAAATATTTAACAGCCATAAATAATGTTTAAAACACTAGATTAAATTTATAGATATAAAACCACTTTATTTACACCATTACTTTTAAAGCAAGGTGATATCATCCACAACATAAATTATACAAAATATCATAAACAATAAAATTTTCATTTCAAATAAAAATGCAAAATTAAATTGATTTTCAATATTTAGAAGCTATAAATTAAACACGGAATTTATGCATAATAAAACGCATGATTTTTTAAATAAAATGACGACAAAGTATTGGTTACCATAAATAACTTCTCCAGCAATGGTTTACCATAAGTCATATCGCTCGCCAAAATAAATCTCAAACATCCGTGCAACCGTCTACCAAAGTAGCACCAATATATCTAGATAAAATTGGTGTGTTAACTTTTGTGATATGCCCACATTGCAAGAGTGATTTCTTTTTTTTTAACTGAACAGCGCTATATTAAAAGGCATCAGGGGTACTTTTTTCAGTTGTGTTCCTATTTCCATCAGTTTCAAGATACTGCAAGACATTTATTATAAACCATCAATGATTATCAACATATAATATATACACTACGAAGTCTGAAATCCGAATGTGCAATATCCAAAATGGTCCAAGAATCCACCTTCTGAGCTCAGAATGATTTAAAAATCTACCTTCCGAGTCCAGAATGATCTAAAATCCACCGTTCAGAAGACCACCAGTAAAAGTTGCTGGTGATGTACCGAATGACCAGGAACTTTTTTTTTTTTTTTGTAAGAAATTTTTTTATGCTTTTGTAATATTTTTGTATAACAGAACATATGGAGAATCCCAATTGTTAATTTCACTTAGGCTCTTATGCCAACCTAGTGAATCATTATTTATTATTTTTTTGCTTTCATCACTGCATAATTATCAACACATTGCAGCATGAAAATTGACTGATGCAGCAATGTTAATTTCACTTAGGCACTTATGCCAACCTAGTGAATCATTATTTATTATTTTTTTTTTTTTTGCTCAAACAAAAAAAAAAAAAAAACTTCAAAAAAAAAAAAAAAAACAAAAAAAAAAAAAAAAAAAAAAAAAAAAAAAAAAAAAAACAAAAAATCATTACTGCATAATTTTCAACACATTGCAGCATGAAAATTGACTGATGCAGCAATGTCTAAACTTTTTTTTTAAAAATATTAGTGACTGAATAACACAAAGCATGGTAACCATTTATGTTAGCATGATGTTTGCCGATTGTTGCGTATTGCTAGACTTCAGCTAACTCTGCCGTAAAGTGTTGAGTGTATCGACAAGGAGAAATTTATTAGATTGTAAATTATACTTATAGGCCAAAAGGTTACATTTACTGCTGCTTAAATTGAGAATAACTGCATTTTTATTAAGCCCAGGATGGGTGCCTGAGATGTTGCAGCTGTACTGAAATTTAGAGAAGGCAAAATTTTTAGGATTTAGAGAAGCACCAATCACCAAAATTAAAGAACGGCAAAATCATTACAATACAATATAGGGAAGGCTCTGGGAAGAAGAATTTAAAGGTAGCAAAATTTTTAGAATTCAGAAAGATGCTTCACAGCAGAATTTTGAATCTGCAGAGACTGCCTGGCAGCAAAATGCCTGGTGCTGGTCCTGGATAAGCCTTGAGTGTAATTTATTTGGGACTCAGATAAGCTTTAGGTATGTGTGGGGAAATAGTAGTAAGTATAATAAATAGCTAAACTAATATAATTCAGGCTTAAGTTCATCAACATGTAATAGAAGCAAGAAAAAATATAGCAGAACATGTCTTTAGTTGTCAATCTCATAATACACCACCAACAGTATATAGCGGACACTAGCTCACGGTTATGATGATAGCTGCAAATTTGAAGGTTTTCAGATATTGCAAACAAAAAGCAAAATTTTCCAATTAGTGGAATTTCTGAAGGGGGAAGTGGTAATAAATGGAGATGATATTACAGAAGGATTCCATTGTGATAAAAGTGCCCTACAAAACAGACACCAATTAGTAGTTTTGTTTTCTTTAATCGGCACCAAGAGCTGGTAAGTGGAATGGGTGATACTCCCCTTCCCTCCCTTTTCTTTATAAACACAGGAAGTGCTGATTTATTAGTGGAGAGCAAAAGAGGGCTTCTCTCGCGACTTTCCAGTTCTGAACGAACAAACTGCAATAATTCGTCAACATTAAAAAAAGATGATGAATCCATTTTACGATTGAATTCTAAGGTTATATCAGACGGCAGAGTTTTCATTATGGCTGAAATCAACATATAACTGTATTTATCTGGTGTGACTTCTAATGATTTCAAGCTGCGTATTTGAGTTTTTGTAGTGTCACAAAGTTTGCGAAGTTTTAAAGTGTCACTGGATTTGGTTACTGGGGTAAGATTCAGGAGTTTTTGCATGTGTGAGTTTATAATATCTTTCCTGCCAAACCTGTTTTTAAGTACTTAACAATTCTGGTGAATGGTAAAATTGTATGGTTTTAAATCTAGAAAGTATCACTACTGATAATGAAGAAAGTGAGAAAGAAGTTGTTGAATTTGAAAAATGTCACTCCACAATTTAGGCAAAATTCTCAATGTGGCAATTACACAACTTGAATGATAGAGTTTTGTAACTGAACATGAAATTATATCTGTCTTTATAATTAAAGGGAAAGTATTAGGACTGAAAGCAAAAGAAATTAATTAAACAGCTTACATTTTGACAATGACCACAATAGTTTGCTCTCTACAATGATAAATGAAGATCATTATTTGGACTTTTAGCATACCAACATAGGAATGCTACAGCTTCACAGCTCTCATGTGACCTGAATGCTGCCACTGGAATCTGAGTTTCATGGTCTACAGTAACCTGAAGGTTTCATGAGTATGACAGACCTACTCTTTTTGTCCCACTCTCTGCAGTAAATAAGAAAGAATATTTAGCACAGTCTGTACAGCATTCTCTGTGGACCTGAGTCCAGTGGAATACTGTATTTTTACAGGTGAGTCAAGATTCAGCCTGGACTGTGATTCTCAGCATACCTCTATATGGAGAGAGGCTGGAACATGATTCATCCCTCCCTCATCAGAAAAAAGGATAATTAGGGTGTTGGTGGTGTAATGGTTTGGGAGTCATTATATTGGATGGCTGCATATCACTGTATTTGAGAAAAGTTCCCTGAATGGCTGGCTATAAGATATAGAAAGGAGATCTTATAACCCTGTGTTTGACTTTTCAAGGGTGCAGTTGGTCCTTGATTCCTGTTAATGGACGACCACGCTCGTCCACAGGTGGTTGACGATTACATGCAAAGTAAGGATATTTGCTGCATGGACCTGATTTCTTCTGTCTTTAACTATATGAAGCATGTCTGAGACTTGCATGGGTGCAATTTCATCTCACTGGCACCCTCTGAAAACTTTTGCTGCGGGAGTGGGATCAACTGTCACAAGGACTCCTCGACTGCCTCCTACCCAGTAGTAGACAATCATGCTGGATGACTTGTCTGCATGTAAGAAAGACCATATTCCATATTAGACTTATTTTCAGTTTAATATCACAACGTGGATTTTGGACATCCCTGCACTATTTACTGATAATCATGTGTAAAGTCACTTTTGAATAGTGCATCTCTTTTTCTCTTGCAAATGTATACTCATGCCAAATTTCATTAAAATCTGATGATTAGTTCTTCAGAAATTTGACATAATCTGCAAATTTTACATATTTAATATACCATGTATAAACATTATTAATTTGTTTTAATTATCAAGAATTAATCTGAAAGTGATGAAAGAATCAAAATATAATAAAATAAAATCATCTGATTTTTATATTAAGTATATAGTTCTAATTTTGGTATTATGAATATGTACAATATTTCAAATATGCACCCCTGTCACAGATGGTCATCTAAATTAGTTGTGAATTATTATCACCGTCATCTCGGATTACATAAATTTCACAGAAAAGTATAAGAATCAAATGTTTTTAAATTTTTTATAATTTGATATATTTATTATCCTTGTTTTGGTGTATTCAAGTACGAAATCATTCATAGTTTGGTTTTGAACATTTTCAATATATCATTTCTGTAAAGACAGTTACAGTAGTGTCTTTAATAGCATATGGATTTGCTTGTAAGTCAGCAGCTTTTGCTACTTTGATATAATGAATGCTTCTAATGAATTTAAAATATTATAAAATTTATTTATGCAAGGCTATGTACTTATTTTACATCATTTTAATTTCTGTGTTTCTAGATTCAAATAATTTATTGTACATTTGCAACATTTTAATATTTGTTATATTTTAAACATTTTTGGTATCTTTACATAATTGCTGTTATGTTATTAAAGATTGATTTTACTGCCTGTTCTGGTTTCTTGATGGTTTCCATACTGATCTTAATATGCTTTGGATTTGTTGCAATGCTCTTTCCTTCAAAGGTAAGCAAGCGCTCTAATATTTTTTTCTAACCTTCTATGCCTGAAATATATTAATTCTTAACCTTGCTAAATTATTTAAAAAAATTAATGATAAAATAAATACATTAGTAAAATGTTCCTCATGTAAGTCGTAGAAAATATTTTGCTTATGTTTAAAAAGTACATAAAATAAAAAATTTAGTTGCAACTTTTCTTTAGTTACAGCTTAGGCAGTTTTAAATATGCAGCTTAATTGCAAATTAGTGCATAATTACAAATTAGTGTAAAAGAATAAAATACTTATGAGAGATCCAAATTAAGATTTAAATACAGAAAGGAAGAAACATTATACATACATATTTTATCATTAGTTTGATGTTTTGTTCCTTGAAAGCTGCATTTTTATTCCCATTCTTTGGCTTACTCAACAAGTCATGTTCTCTGATAACATTACTTACTTTTTATGTCAAATTTATTGTGTGTAATTTAGATCTAAGGCTTTGAAAATTAGGTAAAATTAAGCAAACATATAAATAAATAAGCAGTATTTGAATGGTACAGATTTTAAATAAAACTTTATTGATTTTTAAAGGAAATCTGCTTTTCAGTCGGAAAAAAAAAACATTCAGCAGAAGAAAGCTAACACCCGAACATACTGAAGTTCAAAAGAGACCTTTCCTAGATTTACACTGCTGACCATCAAAAATTCAATATGAAAAAAAAAAGAGATATAAAAGCCAAATTTATTTTGCAGATTGCATATATTATCAATGTTAAGTGATTCAAAATATAGCCTTCTTTTAGGTGACGAAGATAAGAAAATCAGTAATGAGTGTTATCTCTATGCTTGTCAATAACTACTGCTACATGTCACAGCATTGAGTGAAAGAGGCTTTCAGTGCCTTGTTGAAGAATAACACCTCGTGCTGCCTCCATGAATTGCCAAAGTTAATCTTGTGCAATCCATAGGTGTGGCGTGCTGGGCTAGGCATTCTCCTAGCATATTGACCTGACATTTTCAGTGGGTGATAGATCTGGAGAACAGGCAGGCCAGAGTAACAATGCAGAGTATGATGGGATAAGAAGAAAGCTTAAACATTGAGGGCAATGTGAGGTCACACACTGCCCTGTTGAAATGAGGCCACAGACTGCAAAACCTCAGAGATATAACATTGGCTGGTAATTGTACCAATAATGCATACTAGGGGGTGTGAGAGTGGAATCCAATACCACCCCACAAGATGCCATGTGCGGGATCAATATGACGAAGCATAACACAGCAGTCGAGCAACTTCTCTCTACAGTGTCTCTATCTGTGGAGAAGAGCTAATCTGGTCATCATGGTACTGCTGGCAACAGCATGTTTCATCGGGAAGTACGTTATGCTATTTTGATGTCCAATGCAAACATTTGTGGTATAAGGTTAAGCAAAGCAGTGGATGCCTAATGGACAGTTCATTGTACCGTAAAGAACATCAGGTTGTTCATGCAGACACTGAGTTGTTGTGTTAGAGATTGCATTCATTGTGAGGTGGCTGTAGATGTGGCATTCTGCTCCATCACTGCTATTTTAACGCAGAAAGGTGTTTTTCTATAAGGTAGACTGAAGCTGTGTACACAAAAAAATCTCATGAGAGAACAATTCACATTATTCAAAAAGGCAGGCTTTCTACCCTTTATCAGTGATCACGATTATGAGGAGTGCTGCAGTCGCCAGTGATCAAGATCTCAGTGATTAGGATTGTGAGGAGTGCTGCAGTCACCTACAGTGTGCATGTGCAGTAAAAATTGTAATCATTTGTATATTCCATTGCGGTATACTCATGATGTAAGGTATATGCTGTGTGGATGCTTCCTTCATAGTGTTGCAGCTTGGATAGCCAGCAATTTGTTAAAAATTCTGAACCAACAATGCATTAATAGTGGTATTGGGTATGTAATCATACTTATATATATATATATATATATATGTAGGTGGTACTGTGGTAGTGGGAATATAAAAAGGGGTTATTTGTTGTTCTGCTTTTCCTTCATTGTATACTTGAGTGATACTGAAGCATTTTTTAATAGATATAAAATTTAGTTACATAGGGTGAATGCTTTTCAGTGTTTATATAAGGGAATGAAGTGGAAATCATTGTTAGATCGAAGGCAGGACAATCCTAAGTTCACAAAATGTAAAAATTTTGTATATCCCACACACAAAAAATGTAAAAAAATTAATTTAACCAGATGTGTGCTATTATTCTATGATAGCTTCTTTAAAAATAAGGAATTTTGTATTATTTTATGCGGTATGTTAGTAATAAAGATACCTAATTCATTTCATAGAAAAACTGCTTTTTTTAATTAATGATAATTTATCAACCCTAAAAAAAGACTTGCTGGGATATGTAATGTGATCAGGCTCAAATAGTTATTTTATTGGCTTAGATCCTTTTCTTTCAACATTTGAAATCTGTGAGAATTATTCTAAGTCTGATGGCATCACACTAGGGATTAATGCAAGTTAAAAATTTGGAAACATTTTGTGTCTAGAAATGTTCAAATTAGATAGTGAAAATCATTAACAATTACTGACAGCACAACTGATAAAGAAGTAAAGCAGTGAATAATATCTTATGTAAAGGAGCGTAGTAACGATTTTACTATAATATTTTTAAATGTTATCATGAAGGATACAAAATCTGTCTTAATGTAAAACTCTTGCTTGAAAATCTGACGTTTCCAAGCATTTGTAAATTTGGATTTTTACTAGTAATATTCAGAAATCATTAATGCCATTAGTAAATTATTGAATGAAGTTATATGAGTGGTTTTTCATTGTGAAAATATACAAAGTTTTAAATATGAACATATAATTTTATACAGTTCAAATTCTGTGTAAAAAAAAAAAAAAAAAGTCGTGTATTTTATCTAAATATGAATCTAATATTTAAGACACAATAACATGCCGAATAAATACTAATTCAGAAGTCAAACAACAAAATTCAGCGTTATATTCACAAAATTTTCACAGGAATAGTTTCGATGGTTTTACCAAACCACCATCCTCAGCTGCAAAACCGCAAAATATTGCGGTTTTGACTTCTGAATTAGTATGAATCTAATAGTTTGATTTGAATACCTCTGTAATATTTTTTTTTTTTTTTGTGGGGGGGGGGGGTTAAAAAAAGTTTTGAAGTTTTGAATGCTCGTGAAAATATTTCATTTTATTAGTAAATTCAGGTTATTGATCTCATTTTTTATATCTTTTTATTGTTATAACTAAGAAGTGCTAGATATAAATTAAAATCATTCTCATTATTTAAAATCGAAGTATCTTATTTTTTTAAAGTTAAATGAGTTATTGAATGTAAGAAACGCTGAAAATAAGTGTAATTTCTAAATTTTATGTTTTGTGTCTTAATAACTCTTATGCATTTCTAGTTTATAATTAGTGTCTGTTTTTAGCTTATGCAGTTAATATATGCTTCTGTAGGAGCCCTGATCTTCTCAATGGTAAGTAATAGTTTAATATTTATTTTTTTGCAATGGTGTCATCAAAAGCATTAAGACCTAGAAAACCATGACAATGTCGTCATTATTTCTTCTTCTTTTCCCCTCTTTCTTACCATTTCAGAATTGCTATTAAATCATTTCATTTTAAGAATGATTAGAAGTTTGAATGCTTATAAAAAAATATCAGGACTCTGAGAATTTCACATTGAAAAACGATATTATTGCATAAATTTAATAATTGACATAATAATTATATTTTTCTATGACTTTTTTTACATTTTTAAAGAATTCTTTTGACTGTGTTGCAAAGTTTGCTTACTACATTTTTGCCATTTTTATTTGATGTGAAATTGTTTGCCAGCTAAAAGATAATATAACCCGAACTGGTGATAATCTTGTGTGGTGGAGCAATATTTGGACTCAGGTAATTGATTAAGAATTTCTTTATGAGGCTACTGTAGAAGCATTTGTTGTAGTATGTGATTTAGCATTATTCCAAGTTCTGGTGATAAATGCAGGTTACTTGTGGTTAAAATCTAAGTGAGTTTACTGTATTTATTCAATTGCAAACCAATCTTTTGTAGATTAAAAAAAAGTCCATTGGATTAGTATAAGTATCATTAATTTGATAGTCGTGACTGATTTATTTATTTTCTTTCTTTGTTTTCTAATATTAGCTTATAATCAAATAAATATAGTATGAAAGATGATAATGGTTGTCTGCATAAATAGTTTGGTTATTTTCTAACAGTTAAAAATAAGCTTTCTTATCCATGACCCACCATATACAAGACTTAAAAACTTTCTTTGGATGCAAGATGAAATTCTGGTTTTTCTGTAACATTTGGCTTCAGTTTTGTGCTAAATCACTACATTCTTCAAGGGATATTAATATAAAATTTTTTTCCTCTAGTTACAATACGTCTTAAAAGTGTTTCCACTTTGTTTCTAGTAAAGAAGTCCAAGTCAGTGCTTATTGCTAAAATTTCAGGCTGGAGTTCATGTGTAACCCGAGCATTTGCTCAAAAAAGCCTTTCTATTAATTTCAAATGATATATTACTGTTCACTCTGCACTTTTCTCTCTCTATTACCAATTTCTGTGCTTGTCCTCAAAATTAAATTAACTACTTCAGAATTTTCTTAAACCACATTTGATATTGACGTTTACCAATAGCACCTGGGTGTACTGAAGAAATCTTGAGTTTGATTTCTGCACCATTTCTGTGTAACTAAAACTCATACAGTATGTTGTGCAGAATGTGCAGGTTATCTAATAGCATCATTTAATAAAATATTTATTATTGGAGTTCAGAAAGAATGAGTATAGGATTGAAATTTTAAAAACAATTCAATTAAGAATTATTTTACAATATTTTTTCCTTAAATTTTAGAAAATCAAAATCCTTCATTGCATTTGCAAGGAAAAGGTGAGCCCATTAAAATAAACAAAAACTAAATACTTTAGAGTGCGTGAATCATAAAATATGTACAGAAATAAAGTTGGTATTATTTTTAGACCACCCTCTGAAAAAACTGTTGGTAAAGCAAACTGATGTAATCTGACGTACACTTTTTTGCAAAAAATTCAAAGCACCAAGAAGGACTTTTGTGATTCTGACGAAATTTTGTGTGCAAAAACATCTTGATCGAACATGCAAACGATCTGCGCAAATCACAAAGTATAAAACCAATAACAGAGGCAGTGTTTTTTTTTTTTTTTTTTTTTTGGGTTGCTGTCATTGTAATTCCATAAAGAAGAAACTAAAGATGCCATTATGATGATATCGAAGGCCTTACAGATAACTAAACGATTTCGCACATGGTCACATTGTAGGGTTGCGTGAAGCTGGATGGTCATACTGAGCAATAGGCCACCACCTGCAGCATACAGACACTGCTGTGCAAAGATTTTGGCAGCAATGGTTGCTACAAGGAAATTGCCGATGAAATGAAGGCTCTGGAAAGCCAAGGAGCGCAAATGCAAGGCAAGATAGGATGATTGTTCACCAGGCTCGAACTGCCCCCAATAGTATCATTGTTGACTATTCAACACACAATAGCCACGTCTATACCTCTTGTGGTACCGTCCACCATCTCACGGTGCTTGTATGAGGTGGTATTATGCTTCAGAGGCCTTTAAGACGTTGGCCTTTGAACCCACAACTTCGACAGAGCCGTCTGGAGTGGGGTCACAACCGATCATCGGGGCTGCCATGAGACTGGCATCGTATAAACACTATACGATTAATCATGTGATGAACACTATACGATGTATCATGTCTGTATACGATGATGGTCATTCACTTCACTCTTGAAACAGATGACCTCCATGTTTGTGTCTGGAGAGGACAGGGCAAGCAGTTCCAATCAGCCTTTGTTTTACAAAGGCATACAGCCATAACCCCTGTGTGATGGTTTGGGGTGCTATTTCTTATGACAGCAGGTCATCTTTAGTCATCCTCCATACATCTTTAACAGCTCAACGATATGTTGATACCATCCTGCGGCTGGTTGCATTACCCTGCATAGCACATCATCCTGGGGCCATTTTCCAACAAGATAATGCCAGGCCACATACCACTCGCATATCTTTGGACTGTCTCCATGCGGTTGATACTCTTCCTTGGCCAGCAAGGTCGAACATGTCTGGGACATGGTAGGCTGCCAGATTCGGGCATCATAAAATATCACACATCTGGAGCGAAAACTGGTGAATGTGTGGGAGAATGTGTCGCAGGGTGACATTAGGAACTTCTACAACTCCTTGCCTTTGACGAATTCAAGCATGCATTGTTACCAGGGGCGGCTCGACCGACTACTAATTTGAACACTCAATGGGTGATTGTGAGCTATGAACAGGTATTATGACCTTGATGTTTTAATCATTTTATTATCTGTGTATGAGCTATACACATATTCAATTTCATCAATAACAACCGCTTCCTTCATGGTGCTTTGATTTTTTTGCAAAAGAGTGTATATTGTATCATGAAAAAAAAAGAGAGTCTAAACTAGCATACACATTTAATTAGTGGGATATTGTACAAAATGTAAACAAATTATTAGGATTACTTAGTTAATTTCATTAATTGCTGATAGCATGAAAATAATGATAAATGATTATCAGTCATGATATATGTCAAAATGTTTTACAAATTCAGTAACTATAAATGCATATATGTGTAAAAAAAGTATGGTGATGATTTTTTATTTTCACTATATATTCAATTATCATTGTAGTTGCCTTGAACTAAAAAGCATCAGCTTTGTATAACAACTTTATTGATATTATAAAACATAAAATATTTAAGAGAAAAGTTGCCTGCAGCACAGTGTGGCTAAGAATGCTATTCTACTGAAACATAAACATGAACAACTGTTGCCATTCACACAAGCTCATAAGTAAAATAAAGCATGTTGCCAGTAACAAGATTATTGTAAAAATCACAACATAAAATTAAACAGTGAGAAAATAAATAAGGCAAAGAAAAAAAAAGAAATGCAAATATTAAATATACTTCCAACATTAACTCTCACCCTTGCCATTGCATTAACAATAGATTACTCCCGATACAATTGCAATGGTAAAAATTCCCGATGCAATGGCAAGTGGTAAAAGTTTTAGTGCAGGTCTTTTAAAAATAAACATTAACAGTTTTTACTGTAACAACTCTAACATTGCCATCCTTTCCAGGATGGATTTCAACAATGCGACCTAATGGCCAAACACCAGAAGGCATGTTGTCCTCCTTAATTAATAGAATATCACCTACAGACAAATTTGGAAGTTGTTCCTTCCATTTTTATCTTTGTTGTAGGGAATTTAAATTCTCCTTATAATATCTTTTCCAAAAGCCTTGTTTCATTTGCTGTAATAATTCACATTGTTTTAATAAAGTGGGTTTAGGAATATTAGAAAAATCATGTTCTGGGATGCTAATAATAAGATCAAGCCATCTAAATTAGGTTTAGCATTGAATGCTAAGTCAGAATTTTGCAGCTAACCTCCCACCTGTAAAACAACCATCATCATCTAAAAAAGGAAAAAGTGAGCTTAAAACACTTTTAGGACTTAAAGATGAATTATTTTTTAGGTCTTTTATATCTTTATGGAAGTACACAAACTGTGTCCATTTAATGATCGATTTCATAGCTTCTGGCCTCGATTTCATAGCTTCTGGCCTTTCATTAGATGAAGGTACTACTGCAGAATTTTTTTAACCTATTATCTTCAGAACCAAACACCTGTTCTTTGGACCTAGAAATAAATCTTAAGCAAAAAGAAATTACATTAACTATTTCAGATAAAAAAGAACAGTTCTGAAATAAATTATGCAGAGTGTTACTAGTCAAATAAGCTGTTGTACAAAAATTTGATTTTGTCCTTTGTTCAGTTAAGACAGTTGCACCACTACTGGTCTCACTACTGATAGAATATTGTAGAGGCCACTTTTAACTGTCAAACGCTAAGAATGATTGCTCATGCCACCATAGGGATATGTTCGGTAGAAGTTTAGGATCGATTCCTCTAGAAGGAAGATCGGCAAGATTCTGTTTCGACGAAATATAGCTCCACTGTTGATAGGGAATAACATCTAATATTTCTGAAGTCCTGTTTGCCACAGAAAGCTTCCACTTTTGAGGACGAGCTGCTAATCAGCAGAGAACCACCTTAGAGTCAGTCCAAGCATGGAAGGAAATTTTAGTACTGGAGAGGACCTTACGGACAGCTTTGATTAGTCTGGCAAGGAGCAATGCACCTGGGAGTTCTAGTCTAGGTATGGACACTTGTTTAATGGGTGCAACTTTAATTTTAGCAACCACCAAATTGACTTCATTTCTGTCGTGAGATGTTGGTTGAACACAGTAGGTGCCAGCAGAGTAATCAGATTGATGCATCACAAAAACCATGCAGATAGATGTGGTTAGATGTAGTTTGAAGCCACCTCAAAATTTTAACATTGCTGAGAACCTGAAGATCTTCTTGAAATCTTTGCAACTTTAGGCAGTGGGGCATCCCAGTTAAGTTTTAAAAACCACAACTGCTGATAAAACATTTTCAACTTGGATTTACATGGCGATAGCAAGCCAAGAGGATCAAAGATTTTAGAAGATTGAAAAATGAACCTTCTTTTAGTAATTTCGGTCCTGAAATCCATAGAAATGTTAAATAAAAATAGGTCTTCTGTAGAGTTCCAAAAGAGCCCTAAAATTTTAGCGCAATCATCTGAGTGAACTTCCAGGTCACTTTCTTTCTGGTTATGAATAGATAAATTTTTGAGAAGCTTAGAGCAGTTTGATCTCCATTTTCTTAAACTGAATCCACGTTTCTCTAATAAGTGGGAAAGCTTAGAGCATAGGTCAACTGTTTGATCCAGATAAACAATCATCTACATAGAAATCATTTTTAAGAATGGTAGATACATAAGAATGATCCTGTTCTGCATCCAAAGCAATTTGCCACAAACAGTGTGTCGCTAAAAATGATGTAGATGCGGTTTCATAAGTAACTCTACATAATTTATATGTCTGGATTTTTGAATTAAGATTCTCTTCAAACAATTCTTTGTAAATGTTGATCCTCATTATCTACTAAAAGCTTGTGGTACATTTTTTTCTATGTCAGCAGAAAAAACTATTTTATGCATACGAAAATTGAGCAATATTGAAAATATATCTCGTTGTAGTGTTGCACCTATCCCTAAAACAGAGTTCAAAGAAACTGAATTTTTAGGCTGGCATGATCCGTCAAATACTACATGAAGTTTAGTCATAGAGCTACTTGGTTTAACAACAGCATGATGCGGTAGATAACATACTTGATTATTTTCTTCAGTCTGAACAGCTGGAGCCAAATGATTTAAAGTTTAGTATTCTTGCATGAACTCCTTGTATTTCCTACCAAGTTCTTTATCTAAATCAAATTTTCTTTCCATGGATGGAAGATGGGAAATATCCAAAGGTCTGGAGTCACCTAACTCTTCAGCTTTACTGAAAATCGGCAGTCGGACAACAAATCTGCCATTTTCGTGTGCTCTATAGTTTTCCTTAAAATGCTTCTCACAAAACTCTTCTTCAACTGTTGACTTCTGATTTCAGAACATTAATTCTTCTAAAAGTTAATTTTTGAAGAATATATGCTTGTATTAAAACACCATTTTTTTTTCAACTCATTTCGGAAACATCTTTACGTTTAAATAACCACGAGTCAAAGCTGCTTCAGAATCACCAAGTCCCTTTACGCAAATACGGGCATTTTGTCTGCGTATAATTAACAGTCGAATAAATGATTCACTGATGAAAGAACACTTCCACTGTCGAAAAAATGATACATTCGTGACCTTGACCACCAGAATCGTAAATTATTACTGCCGTTGTTGGTAAAAATGAAGTACTCTGACCCTGAATAGAAAAACTCGAAATATTATTTTGTTCGTCTGAGTTACAAATTTTGTTCATCACACGGAAGATGAATTTGACACCACTACTTTATTTTAATATCTTCATGCAGTAAAGTATGGTGTTTTGCTTTACAAATAGAACACAAATTCTGCGATAAACAACATTTTACTTGATTTTAATTTTACCCAAAACAATTGAAGCATAATAAATGCTTCCGCATAATAAATTTTACCTAAAACAATTGAAGCATAATAAATTCTTCCGGATGATATTTTTCCTAGTCGTAATATCTGCACCTTTAAATTTATAACACTTTGATAAAGTATGAGAATCATTGCAGTGCTGACATTTTAGAACAGAATGTTTATTATTATGTGAAACATTCTTCGAAACAGAGCACTGATTTTTATGCGATACTCGCTTTTCAGTATTATGAGTGTTTCACATTTCGAGTGAAACACATCTTGAGTTTAAGAATTCCAAAATACAATCTAAGGTAGGAAATTCTTCTTCACCAATTTTATGTGACTATAAATGGCACATTTCCGGATCAACCTTTTTTAACAAAAAATAAATTAGCCAAACATCTCTAGACAAAGCGTTTTTGCCAAGAGGTTTTAATCCATTGACAACTTCATCAGATGTATCAGATAGTTTTTTTTAGATTGACAGAATCAGAGATAGTAATTCTGGGTTGCTCAAGAAATGTTCTGACAAGCAACATGACAGTTTGATTTTGTCTATCATAACGATTCATCAGTTTGTCCCAAGCCTCCTCGTATGTAGCTTCAGAAATTGGATGTGCTTAATAATAGCAGCTAATTCGTCCGTTAAGTCCTATGAAATATTGGAATTTCTGAATTTTCACTAATGACTGATTGGTATGAACTGTCACCATCTACAGATCTTTAAAATTAAGCCAGTTTGTATATTTACCATTAAAACTTGGAATGTTTAAACAAGGAAGTTTAAAGCTAGCCTCAACTTTAGTGGGATTTGAAATCAAAACATTTTTGGTCATTAACGTTTCAATGGCAGATTGATACATTACTTTCGTTTAAAAAAATTTAGCTTTACATTCAACAATTTCATAAGCTTCTTCGGGTAAAGCGGCATCATATTGATTAAATTCTTTAAATATTTGTTCAATTCTTTCTAATCGCGCTTTTAATTCTGTTAGACTTAACTGATTACTTAAACTATTGTGAAGCCACGTTAGGGAAGATTTCATTTGTCCTCTTAATCTTTTAAGATCAGCTTCACTTAATTCTGTCATTATTACCATAAATAATGATTAATAAGCACAAAAAACTTCAACAAGATACTTAAGCAGCAAAAAATATTTCCACTTATCTTTCTAAGGTCATGCAGATGATTTGCAGTACTAGTACTTAAAAGTAAAAGTTTGTCAAATACAGTTCTAAAGCATATAATTACAACATATTAAATATTATTAAGTGCCTCACCTGGGGAACCAAATATTTGCCTTGAACTAAAAAGCATCAGCTTTGTATAACAACTTTATTAATATTCTAAAATGTGAAATATTTAAGAGAAAATTGCCTGCAGCACAGTGCGGCTAAGAACGCTATTCTACTGAAACATAAACATGAACAACTGTTTCCATTCACACAAACTCATAAGTAAAATAAAGCATGTTGCCAGTAACAAGATTATTGTAAAAATCGCAGCATAAAATTAAACAGTGAGAAAATAAATATGGCAAAGAAAAAAAGAAATGTGAATATTAAATATACATCCAACACAGTGTTTTTGTTTTCTTGGATATTGCAGGAGAATCATCATTGTTTGAATTAAGTGATGTGAAACATTAAAATTTTGTAGTTTATTAAGAACTCATTTAACCGCTTGCCTGATTAATTATTATCCCAAGAAAACTCGGTTGAAGCAGAATTTTTCAGTACGATTTGTTTTATCACGCTTTAACTCGTCGGCTTGGAGGAAATGAAAGGAAATATTCAGCTTTAACTGGCAGTTTGCCAAGTTTCATTGGTTTTGCAGTTCTTTTGGTGGGATTGGTCACATGTTTCCCTATCGTGTAGTATACGGCGGCTTTTGGGTTAGTAATGTACAAAGAAGGATAGTTGCATTGAAAAAAGGTAAAATAATAGTGATGATGCAAGATAGCGTAAGCAATGATTTTTCAGATAGTGATTATGAAGAGGTGGACATTGAAAATAGTGGAAGTGATTCTTCTGTATGTAGGGGGAAAATATTATAAGATTTTCTTCCATTTATTGGATTTGGCTTTGTGGAATTCTTACATCATGTACTGTAAAGCAGGAGGTTCATGATCACCTAAACAATTTCGAATGGAACTGATTGAAAAACTAATTTCAGAAAATCATTGTGATGAGTTTTCTGCGACATCAGGAAGACCCAGCATTAGCCCTTCACCACTCAGGTTAACCTCAAAGCACTTTCCAGATGTTATTCCTGCTACTGAAAAAAAATCAAATCCAACGAGACAGTGTACTCTGTGCTCCCGTAAAAGAGATTCCAGAGGTAAGCCAGTAAGAAAAGAGACCAGATACCAGTGTACAGAATGTCAGGTATCTATTTGTGTTGTACCTTGTTTCAAAAACTATCATACAAAGACTTACATTTAACTTTTTTCCATTTTCCCAGGATAACTCGGGATAGTAAACTAATATTAAAACTAAATGCTTTTACAGTAACTCGGTAAAAAAATTAAAAATTCAACTTAAAACCTACATATTTTGTTTTGCTTCCTTGTATTTAATAATAAAAATTAAAAATGTGATGATGTTTTGCAATTTTTTCAAAAAAATGTGTAAGGGAAGCAGTTAATACCAGTTAGTTTTTGATTATGGAGCAGTTAATACTAGTTAGTTTTTGATTATGGAGAAGTTAATACCAGTTAGTTTTTGATGGATTTGCAGATCAAGGAGGCCTTGAAAAAGTACTTTTTTAAAGTTCCAAATGTCTGGCTTGGCAAACTCATGTTTTGACTTAGCATAATCCTGAAATAATTCCATGCAGAACAATTGTTAGCTGATACAAAAGCAGTGCCTATATTTGTAATTGAGTTCAAATCAGAATTGTCTACTGTAATATACATCTGCTGTAAAATGGATTGGTTTGGAATTATCTGCTTGAAAAATCAACTGTGTTTAAGGTAAGAGTTTTCATGTTACTAGGTCAATTAAGAAAAAATCAGCAAGAGCAAGTTTGGTTGTAGCACAAAAATTTCCAAAGACTGATGTCATAGTAATATAAAAATCAGTATCTTGTTGCTTTAATAATGTCAAATTCGCAATTATATGTTGAAATCAAAACAAATGTGAATACGATGGAGGTAGGAATAGAAGGAAATGTCTGGCTAATTGATAGCCAAAGGGGATGGCGTACTTTTCTTTATATCCAGACCATGTTACCTTGATAGCAGTTTGATACTTCCACACAACATTTCTGCACAGATTGAAAATTAGAGACACTTTCACACAAAAGAAACATCTATTGCTGTATGAATAATAGCAATTTTTATAGGTTAGTGTCATTTTCCACTCATCACATCCTGATTATCTTTTAATAACTTGCAACAACGATTTTGATTATGAATTTATTTTATAAAATTTTAAGCTACTAGACTAAAAAAATATAGATTTTAGCAAAATGTTTGTTATGTGTAAAGAATGATAAATACCTCAAAGTACCTTTATAATGTCAAAATAACACAAAGGTATAACACATTTTATAGAATGATTATGACTGGGAGATGTTGAAGAATTATTCAAAAAAATATAAGGATTGATAATAATGAATCTGAGTTTTGTCCAATTATGAGGTTATTGAGAGTGACATGATACATGCTGTTAATATGATAAAGAAAGTGGTCATAAAGAAGCAAATGTAGTTGGACCATCTGATTTCAAGGATTGCAAGGCAGTTCAACTAACTACGGAGTGGTATCTAATGTAGACAAAATATGATCCAAAGGGTTTGCTAACTGTATGAACATTGTATGATTTGGCAATTTTCAGACATAAAAATTCAAGTAAACAGACCTGTAACAACATATTAGGTATTTTAAGTAATTTTATTAATTTGTAAACAAGCTTGTAAAGTATTTTAAGCTATGTTCTAACTCAGATTTACATTATTTTTACTTACACAGTCAAAAGTCGTTAATCCGGACACCCATAATCCGGAATGATCTATAATCCAGGCCTCAAAGCTACAAACTTTCTGCACATACGTCAAAGCATAATGCGTTTACTCATGCACGTAATACCTTTACGCGTGCGCATGCGCATAATACGTTTACGCATGCGCCTTTAATGTATAACGGACGGTATAAGCTAAGCTAAAATTATCTATTTCAGTTAATATTGCAGATTGCGTTGTTCCTTAATCTTCTAATTGGATCCGGCTTATTATTTTTTGCAGACTGTTAAAACAATTTTATGAAAGTAAGCTTGAACGTTCGATTATGTCAAAAAGAATTTCCTATTCTGTAGCTGCCGAAGGATCTACAAAGTGAAAGCATGTTTCGTTTTGGCAATGTATCATAAGACTGGGAAAGCATTTTTAAAAAAAAGTGGAATTGCCGCAAAAAATGGATAAAGGCATATCCTTTGTTTCTCTAACCATTCCGAAATCTGTTTGTCAATTTCACACTGCTCTGCGCCGGGGGAAGACAACGCGGAGCGCAATAAACTGGAAGTTGATCTGTCAGCACTATCCTTATCTTCCGGGCAGATGTTTTTATTTTATTCGGCTTATAATTCCTTACTAAATGTAGTACAGTCAAAAGTCGTTAATCCTGACTCATCGGGACTTCGGCGATTCCAGATTATAGATCATCAGTTTAAATCTCGTAAGATGGCATGCAGAAATTCTAAAATTAAAAATATGAAACCGTAATTTATGAAATAAAGAACAATTATAATCTAAAGGGTATCAAAATTTACAAAAAAAAAAAAAAGCTTCATATTTATTTGTTTACTTTATTAAAGATTTCTTTCAATGTAAGTTGTTTAAATTGCTTCATTTTATGTGATAATACTTTCTCTTTAATTCTATAAACAGACATAATTTCTTGTTCAGTTACAAAGTTCCACTGTTCAAGTCCCGTTAATTGCTGTGCCGAGAAAACCGACTAACTTCTCAATCAAAATTTTTTCGTTTTCACTAACCTCTCTGTCACATTCTTCATGTCTTTATTCATTTTTTGCAGCAATTCCACTTTTTGTTTGATGGACATCGAAACATACTTTCGTTTTCGCTATCCTTTATTACATAAAACGAGCACGTTTTCTGCGCGTTGCTGCTCATGCTCACATGCATATGCGCAGTCGTAAAAGGTCTTATGCGCATGTGTCAACGCGGCGTACGCGCAGGAAGTTTTTAGCTTTGAGGTCCGGATTATAGATCATTCCGGATTATGGGTGTCCGAATTAACGACTTTTGACTGTATTTCATCTCGATGTACTCCGTCTTTGATATGATTTAAATCAAATTTCTCGTCATTATAAATATCACGAATACACATCAAATAGTTTTCTGGTTGCAATTTTCTAATTTCGACTATGCGTAATGTATGCTTTACACATGCGCACATTGAAAGAAATGTTTAATAAAGTAAACAAATAAATATTAAGCTATTTTTTGTAAATTTTGATACCCTTTAGATCATAATTGCTCTTTATTTCTTAAATTACGGTTTCATATTTTAATTTTATAATTTCTGCATGCCATCTTACAAGATTTAAACTGATGATCTATAATCCGGAAAAACCGATAATCCGAAATCGCTGAAGTCCCCACGAGTCCAGATTAAAGACTTTTGACTCTATTATTAAAAAGTGTGATTAGGTGCTTACTTCAGTTCTCTGTAATTTTAAATAATAAAAGTAAACATGTTTTGGGGGCATAAGGAGCATTTGCACTAAAAAAAAAAAAAAAAAGCTTTTATTACTTGGATTTTTAATTACCTGAATACATGATATACTTAAATATATTAGTATGGCTTTTTATGAATATTATTTTCTTTTCAGTATTTGATTTTTGATACGCAGATGATGATTGGTGGGAAACATCGTTATAGTTTGTCACCAGAAGAATACATTTTTGCTGCATTGAATATTTATTTGGATGTCATTAATATATTTATGTCAATCCTACAAATTGTTGGTTATGCAAGAGAAGGGTAAGTGCTATTTCAAATTGCTGTGTTCTTTTTTAATGTATTAGGGAAATAATAACAAATGACATGTATTTTTTCATGTAGACAATTTCATATTTATTGTAGAAATATGTATTGTATTTATTGCAAAAGAAATTGAATTAATTTATTTGTTTAGGCTCTGGGTTCTCAGCCCAGGAGGGAATTCTCCGCAAGTGGAGAATTTCATACTTGAAAAGAGAAATGCAGTCAGCATTTTATTTAGTGGTTTAAGGATTTAATTTTAGTTTATGAGTATAAAAAATACTTTTATTTATATTTTGATATTTATCAACATTTTCTATATCTCTGGCTATTCAATCTATAAATCACATTAACAATTAATCTAAATAAATGTAAATATGTATTTTTTGAGTTTTTTAAAGGGAGTACAAGTTAAAAACTACTACAGGGTTCGTAGCGGTCCTTATAAGTGCTAATAATATATAATCCTTATATTTGAAAATAAAATATAAAGTTCCTTATAGGTGCTTACTTTTTCTTTAAAGCCCTTATTTTTGTTTTTAGTGCTTATTTTTTGCTTTTGGTGCTTTTTTTTTAATGAATGCGCTATTTTTCCTGGTACCAAAGCCGAAACTAAATAAACAACTTCCCTATGGCAAAACAACTTTCCTTCTATGGAATGTCAGATGGTGAATCATACTCCCGGAAATAGTTTTTCCCCTTTCTCTGCATTAACATAACCTTTGGTGTGCACGAAGAGTACAGACAGGTGCCCGTCGTTCTATTGGTCAAAGAATTGCGAAAGCAGTAGAAAATTCCGGTACATTCAGCATTCTTTTCCTCCCACCCAATACTACAACACGTTTGAATTTCTATCAAGATTCTTAATAATTTACATTCTCGTTCCACTGTGGTCATTTTATATTCATGTTTATTATGATCGTTTATGATTATATTATGAGCATATGTATGAATGTTTATAATAATATATTTCCGGTAACTGCTGAAGTATAGATAAACTTTCCAAAATGGGTAAGTGTGTTTTAACACAGATTAGCTTTCTAAGGGATAATATTCGGAATGGACATAAATAAAGGTGAAAGTAATTCGAATAGTCAAAATAATTTTTTTTTTGGCCCAATTACATTATACAGTATGGAATAGTTGGGAGGGGGGTCTCCCCTTTCTCCCGCAAAATCTTGAATTGTTGAAACCTGCTACAGTTCCGCAGCAAAAGCAAGCAATGGACTTTTTTTTTTTTTGTCACTTTGAATCTGGATTGAATAGGACTAAAAGTTCTGCGGTCTACTAACCCAAGTGAAGAATGATTCTATTCAGGAAATTTAACGCCGTCTGTTGAAAATTAGAATGAAAAACACTCCAGTTATTTAGTTCTTTGTTCTCCCAATACCGGCAGCTGTTGATTCCGATTGCATAATATCACGTAGGGAAGAATTACAGCGCACGTACTGTGCAATAACACTTGCGATATTTTGCAGAGATAATTAATTTTGATGTTCTGTCCGAGATTTGTTTATGAACACTTAAAAGAGTTTTACTGTGCTTGCTAAGCAGAATATTTTTCAGTTCCATTGGTTTATTTTTATATGATGTGCATATCGAAATGTCAAAAGCATTTATTTAGTGGAAAAATTTAAAGAGCAGCTACAGTCTACACCCCCCCTCCGCTCCTCTTTTTCAAGTTACGCTCGACTGTCAGAATATTCGCCAATTTCCAAGTATGCGGGTTAGTTAAGCTTTTACTTTTAAAGGATGACTGCATGAAGCAAATTTCTGTCTTCTGATTTCAGAAATGTTCTTCTTTTTTACTTAAATTACTTTGCTTGCAATATCTGTTAAGGGAAAACTGATATACAGTCAAAAGTCTTTAATCCGGACTCGTCAGGACTTCGGCGATTCCGGATTATCGATTTTTCCGGATTATAGATCATCAGTTTAAATCTGGTAAGATGGCATGCAGAAATTATAAAATTAAAAATATGAAACCGTAATTTATAAAATAATGAGCAATTATGATCTAAAGGGTATCAAAATTTACAAAAACAGAAGCTTAATATTTATTTGTTTACTTTATTAAACATTTCTTTTAACGCGTGCATGCGTAAAGCATACCTTACGCATAGCCGAAATTAGAAAATTGCAACCAGAAAACTATTTGATTTGTATTCGTGATATTTATAATGACGAGGAATTTGATTTAAATCATATCAAAGATGGAGTACATCGAGATTAAATACTACATTTATTAAGGAATTATAAGCCGAATGAAATAAAAACATCTGCCCTGAAGATAACGATGGTGCAGACAGATCAACTTCCAGTTCATTGCGCGCCGAGACGTCCCCCCCCGCCCCCCCGCGCGCAGAGCAGCATGAAATTGATAAACAGATTTCGGAATGGTTAGATAAACAAAGGATATACCTTTATCCATTTTTTGTAGCAATTCATTTTTTGTTTGATGGACATCGAAACATACTTCCGTTTTCTAGATCCTTTGGGAGCTCCAGCATTGGAAATTCTATTTGACATAATCGAAAGTTCAAGCTTACTGTTATAAAAATTGCTCTTATAGTCTACAAAAAATAATAAGCCGGATCCAATTCGAAGATTAAGGAACAACACAATCATCAACATTAACTGAAACAGATAATTAGATAATTTTAGCTTATACTGTCCGTTATACATTAAACGCGCACGCGAAAACGTATTCTGCGCTTGCTCAGACGCATATGCGCAGTCGTAAATGTCCTGCGCGCACGCGTAAAACGCCTATGAGCATGCGTCAACGCGCCGCATGCGCAGAAAGATTTTAGCTTTGAGGTCCGGATTATAGATCATTACGGATTATGGGTGTCCGAATTAACGACTTTTGACTGTACAAATGAAAATTTAGAAAATGTTCAGAATTTAGATTTAAATTATTTAAATATCAATAGGAGTGGAAAAATAAATTGTATTTATTATTAGGTTCCAAGTGAATACAATATAAATATGCTTTATTATTATTTATTTTCTCTATTTTGAACTGAAATTTCATCATTAAATCTTGTAATATAGTTTAGTTCTGCGTAGTTTGTTTTTCTTCTTCTTATTGTAACTAGTTCTGTAAATTGAACTGTTATTTAAAATTAAAAAAAAAAAAAAAGAGTAATTATTTTCCATGGTTGAGGTAATGCTTATTCACTCTTAATAAATACTGCATTTCTCATATTTTAAATTACAAGTCTAATTTTTATGCAGTTGTGTATAATATAATTAGACAGGTGCTTATTTTTTTTTTTTTTTCTTAAAATGTGCTTGAAAAGTGCTTATAGGTGCTTATTTTTTTTAACTAAAATGTGGCTATGAACCCTGTACTAGCCTAGGCTCTAAAATCAGATGTATGATCTTTTACTTTTTACTATAAATTTTTTTTTAATATGTATTATGTGCTCCAAAAACATGTTTAACTTCCTCCAATATTTTTTTAAGCTACATACATTTTGAACATTATTAGTTAATCTACATCCTCTAAATAAATGTAATTTTTTTTATAAATTATAATAAAACTGATATATTACACCAGTGGTGCCGAATTCTGTATGCATGAAAGCCAGTTTAAGTTCTATCTCGTGACCATATACTGCGCATAATTAAATATATTCTAATTAAAAAATAAAACTTAACGACTTGCATTACTTCATGATTTCTTTACAAAGAGGGCTAATATATATATATATATATAAAGACAGAGTGCATATTAGGTAGGTTTTATATATACAGGGTTATTCAAATAGAAAGAGCAGATTGCAAACATGTATTTTTTCCAAACTACAAAAGATAGAAACATGATTCTAACATTAATGGATAGAGAAAAGTGTACAATTTAGTACGGGTAAAAGTTCCAGTCATGGCCGCATTGGCGCTGTTGTTTGTACTGGTATTATTTGTTGGTTGGTAATATGTAGTGAAATCACACTGACACCACAGCAGAAGTCTTTTTGTCTTCTACAGTTGGCAAAACTAGAGTCCATTGTTGCAGTTCAGCAAGCATTTCGCCGTCAATTTAATAAACAACCACCGCGTCATAAGCAAATTTACGAGTGGCATCAAAAATTTGTAGAAGATGGTTGCATCTGCAAAGGGAAAAGCACGGGACATCCACGCACATCGAACTAGAATGTCGAGTGTATTCGTATATTCTAGGAAAGGAGCCCAAAGAAATCCACATTGCGAGCAAGCAAAGAACTTAAAATTCCTCAACCAATGGTATGGCGAGTTCTAAAACATCGTCTGCACATGAAGCCATACAAACCGCAGTTATTGAATGCATACATTAAATGCATACCATAATTGTAAACTTTTCTCTATCCATTAATGTTAGAATCGTTTCTATCTTTTGTAGTTTGGAAGAAATAAATGTTTGAAATCTGCTCTTTCTTTTTGAATAACCCTGTATATATATAGAGAGAAAGGCATATTTTTTTCTAATTTATTTTATCTAATATTAACATACACTAAAATAGAATTTTCTTTATTGCAGATAAGTTGATGCTGTCATGAAGTATTCGATATACTTCTTGCTATACATTCCTGATTCTGCATCTTCAGTGTTTTCTTCAGACTGAAATATTGAATAAGATCTTATGTTTTTTACATCTAGTCATTTTCTTATTAATTTATCATAGAATTTGGATAATATCAAGGCATTGGCAAGAGCAAAATATGCTGTCCTGTTTATGTAATGTGATGTAGTTGGTAATTTTTTGTCTTTGCTTTAGATAATTTAAAAATTATATAAATCAAAACTAAAAATATGAGAGAGTAGATCAAAGCATTCTCTAGTTGAATATACAGTAATTATATAGACTTTGTCTGTTTTTATGTTATTTATTTTAATGGCTTGTTAGCACATTTTTATACTTTTTGTTTTCTTATCTTTTTAATGTCTTATTTTATGTGTTTTAAATTATTCATTTTTCTGGTGTCACATCAGTGAAAAATCTCATCAGTAATTTTTCGCTGATTCTTAAAAAAATAAATAATAGGTATATACTCTTAGTAATATATTGAACAAATGCATTTGGAAAATGAAACAATACATAAAATAAGAGTTTTGATGTGAAAGTATGTGTGAAAGCAGCATGTTTTGTATTATATAATTCGAATCATTCTGTGTCAAACAACAAATTGTAACTTTTTTTTGTAATTTGGAAAAGAAATATAGAAAGTATCAAAAGCAATTTTCAGGTGCAAACTGTCATCATTGTAAAGTTATTTAATCATTTGAATTCATAATATAAGTTTTATTTTTGTGTTTTAAATAATTATATTTTAATGTTATTTATTTTAAACAATTTGTAGTTAAATAATTTTTAAAAATGAAATATTATACTACTTGAACATCATTTTTAAAAATAAGTAATTTTGCCTTTTAATGCTCTGGGAAATTTTTATGGTAAATGACTGCAGTTTTAATGAAACTCAACTTTTTTTTCATTGTACAGTCAAAAGTCGTTAATTCGGACACCCATAATTCGGAATGATCTATAATACGGACCTCAAAACTAAAAACTTTCTGCGCATGCGCCGCATTGACACATGCGCACAGGCGTTTACACGTGCGCGTAAGACCTTTTACGACTGCGCATATGAGTGTGCGCAAGTGCAGAATACGTTTTCGCGTGCGCGTTTTATGTATAATGGACGTATAAGCTAAATAATTATCTATTTCGGTTAATGTTGATGATTGCGTTGTTCCTTAATTTTCAAATTGGATACGGTTTATTATTTTTAGCAATTTTAAGCAAGAGCAATTTTATAAAAGTAAGCTTAAACTTTCGATTATATCAAATAGAATTTCCGATATATATTTGTTAATATGTAAAAGATCTAAAGCGAAAGTATGTTTTGAAATCCGAAATCTGTTTATCAATTTCACACTGCTCGGCGGGGGGAACGCCGCGGCGGGCGCGTAATGAATTGGAAGTTGATCTGTCAGTACTATCCTTATCTTCAGAGCAGATGTTTTTATTTTATTTGGCTTATAATTCCTTATCAAATGTAGTATTTCATCTCGATGTGCTCCGTCTTTGATATGATTTAAAACAAGTTCCTCGTCATTATAATTCGCTTCCGAGAGCGAAGAAAGTGACAGAGGTTATTGAAAACGAAAAAATTTCGATTGACAAATTTGTCAGTATTCTCGACACAGCAATTATAGGACTTGAACAGCGGAACTTTGTAATTGAACAAGAAATTATATCTGTTTAATAGAATTAAAGAGAAAGTATTATCACATGAAACGAAGCAAAACTTAAACAACTTACATTGAAAGAAATGTTTAATAAAGTAAACAAATAAATATTAAGCTTTTTCTTTTTGCAAATTTTGATACCCTTTAGATCATAATTGTTCTTTATTTCATAAATTACGGTTTCATATTTTTAATTTTAGAATTTCTGCATGCCATCTTATGAGATTTAAACTTATGATCGATAATCCGGAAAAATCGATAATCCGGAATCGCCGAAGTCCCGACGAGTCCGGATTAACGACTTTTGACTGTATCATTTTATAGTAACAGAAGTTGTGTTAGATGCTTGTGGGTGATACAAATAGTTTCACGGTATGATACATGATGAAACTAAAAAATGTCATGCTGAACCACTATCTGATTGCAAAATGAATGAAATAGTTAATGTAAATCCCATCTCTAATTCTCATTTTTTAACTCTTGGAAGTTTTTCTTACAAAATGCTGAATAATGATTTTTAAAACAAATTTTCCATTTCATTAGGTCAAACAAACAGTTCTTATTGGTACTTTTAATCAGGCACTGTTTCACAATGTCACAAAATATAAAGACATCAAATAATAAAAACTGTAAAAAATTCTTATTGGTACTTTTAATCAGGCACTGTTGCACAATGTGTCAAAATATAAAGACATCAAATTATAAAAACTGTAAAATGTTGATAGAAAGATATTTTATAGTAATGTCTAAGTGCACATATTTATAGGGCATCTTAACTTTCATCGATACAAAATTATTAGAAATTTTAATGTCTCAAAATTTCCTGATTAAAGTTTAAGTCTAAAAATTGATCATGGAGAGAAAAATAGGTACAATTAAAATATGAGAGTGTGCATATATGTTACCATGAAGGATGTTGATGATAGCATATGTCAGTATTCTCTGGTGAATGTAGGTCATAGTTCATTCTCATAGTTGCTTGGTGAATGCTCGAAGTATTTGCTAAATATCTTTATTTCTCACTTACACAAGTGAATGTCGACATTTAACTTGCACAGATGGTGAATATTAAATAAAAATAATGTGGTGATGTTAAGACAAAATGCAACTTTTTAAATCATACTTTGTTATTAAAACATATCATGATATATGCTGAAATATAAGAAAGCTTAAATAACAGTACATGTAAATGTAAAATTAACAGTGCATACTAAATCAGAAAAGCAAGTAATACCAATAATAAACTTACACATAAATTGTATAATTACAATAATTTATAATATAGTAATTTATTGCAACAACTTAAATTGCTATGATACTTTGCATTATCCCTTGCTTTTACAACTGCATTTAATTGTGAAAAACGTCTTTTTACATTTACAGCATGTAAAACCTTTCCTTCTGCTTCTCAAATTAGTTGCAGCTGCTTCTGTTAGTGTCATTTCTTGCAAAAAACTCTCAACTATAGAAAGTAACTTCTGTTTACAAATTACAAACTGATTATGGGTATAAAGCTGCATTATGGATACCATGTTTGTTTGTTAATAAAAGTCAGTCTTCTATTCCAGCAGCTAGTACTTCCATATTTCGAGCATCTGTACAACCACGGTCCATATCAGGGACTTGTAGGGTATCTGTCGGCAATTTAAGCAGCAGCATTTTTTTTAGGTTTATAATATTTTTTTGCTTGCACTAGAAGACATCTCTTACATGCCCTAGAAGCTTGCACTAGAAGACGACATCTCTTACACATCTCTTACATGGCTCTCTCTAGAAATAAACCTTGTTGTGAAGATATAGTAGGTTGCAGCTTCTCTTCATTATTTTTCTTTGGAATATGGGTTTCGGTATGGTTCTGCTCAAATTTTCTTCAAACATTTCACAACATTCTTCAGACATTTAACAATTTCTCTGAGCTGTTCCTCGGTTTCAATATTTTTTACTTGCTCACCAAGCAAAAATGCTAATGTTATTTATGTCTCTTTTTGGTTTAATTTAAAGCTGGGCTTCATAGGGACTTACGCATATTCCTTTATAGTATGTAGTGTTCTTGTCAAGTTAAACAAAGGGGAAACCATCTGACCCTTTATTTGTATCATTATCTTTCATCCTTGCGGTTAATGTATTCTGTGATACGCGATGCAACGATTCCTCTCCTACCAGCTCAGGGTCCTGTATACACGACGCAACGATTCTGCTCCTAAGAGCCCAGTGTCGCATATATGTGACTTTAAACGGAACAGTTTATTTGAATTTTTAAAAGCCACTAAATGGAGCTAAATGGTAGTTGTTTTCACATGGGTTGATTCATATGGCATTTGACCTTTATGTACTGGCATTAGTTTCTGTTTTGTGTCTAGCTTGCATTTCTCAGAAAAGAGGTCATTATATATAATGCCTTGAATGGTCATTATGTATAACACAGGCATTTTGGTATATAATGTATTTACTTTGCAAATAATGTAATTATATATAATGTATATATTGATGTGATCAGTAATGGATATCCCGCCAGTGGGGATCTTTCCTTGATCACTTTATGGTCATTGTGGACACTGCTTTCGATTTAGAAAAACAGGAAGTCTTCTAATATAAACCTGATGTCACACAGTGTTTGAGGACGAAACATTTCTGAGTGTCTTTTGAAGTTTTGTGACATGTGTTGGGGTTACATTCAGTTTCATTCCGTTAGCCATGGCTTATTTAAAACCTTACTTAAAAACTTAAAGATTTGTCCAAAATCACCGGACACTCCACCTTTCCGTCTAACTGGAAGACAGTTTTTGAAAATTTACTTTGATGGAGGAGGTAATAAAAGGTGGGAGAATGATGAGTTGTGCACGCTAAAACCAAGGAAAAGCGTAAGCAAACAACGTATTTTGAGTGCGAAATATGCAATGTAGGACTGTGTGTCGATTCTTGTTTTGAATTATTTCACAACAGCAAAATTTTTAAACTGGAATTTAATTACCTACAGATAATTCTTATTTAGTTTTTTTTTAATTTCATATTTGTAAATTTTTTTCATATTTGTAGTATTTATTTCTGTGTGTATAGTTATGATTTTAGTATTTTGCCGGTTTAATTTATTTATATTAATGCAATATTCTTTATATTAATACACGTTAAAAACAAGTACATTAAATATGCAACTTCAAAAATTGAAGTCATAATATCAAAATGCTGATTTTATACGATTTTTTTTTTTTTTTTTTTTTTTTTTTTTTTTTTTTGTAAAGTTAGGTGTAACTGCTGAAAATGCATGGGGCGGTGGCGACAATCCATTTCAACTAAGTCCAGTCCCGTGACTGCACTTCGTTCTCCCGCCGCTGGTCGTTAAGGGGTTAACTAAGTCATGCTTTTGATTATGATAAGCCTTTCTGTGAACTATCTTAACATTTTTCCACATTGCACATAGCTTGGATATGATTTCATTATTGAATTCCTTACCATTATCTGAATGAAGTTTATCTGGAATATTAGATGCTAAAAATATATGAAGAAGGTGATAAACTACTTCTTCAACTATCTTAGTTTTTAAAAGTCATAATTAGACAAACTTGATTATCTAAATGAGCTTGATGCACCATTATGAATTCATATTCACTATACTTATCAGATCAACTTGATATCTTGAATTTAATTCTGAACTGACCATTGGTTTCATAGCACAAGCTTTTTTAGGTGCACTGTGTTTCATTTAGCATTGTTTACATAAATTTAAATGCAGGATTACAACTTAATATGTAATATTTTTTAACTTGCAAATTTTTAAGCATATAAGTTCTTCCTCCATGGCCTCTTCTGATGCGAGTTTTGGCATATTGAAAAATTATTGGTAACAATACTATGTATTCATTTCTCGGGGTTTTAATGGCAGAATTAACTTCTCTTCATCATTAATTTTTAAAATGTCAAGCCATTTTAATCATTTGTAATCCAAAGTATTTATTTAAGTTTAGCATTTAAATTTAGTAGAAATTACTTCAGAATGTATTTTAAAATACTTTTCTTGAGAAAAATTAAAACATTTTTCTTCTTGTTTACTGGCAATAAATTCATGCAACATAAAAAAAAATACTGCACCAATCGTTCAAATAAATTAGAGTATTGGATAACAAATTAAAATTAAGCAATTGTTGCATGCACCAGCAAACCCTGTGTGACAGACTGACAAAGAGCAGAGCATTCGAGAGTCTAAGAGATACATGCGGTGTGACCTGAAGCGTGGTAGAACAAAAGATTTTACATTTTTGTTGCTTCTTTCTGTTGTTATATGCCTCTGATGGTCTGAATATATAAGAAAATAACCAAATATTTGGTGTTTGACTGACATACCTGCTATGTGTTGA